ACTAAATTGAGCCATTGCAAAATGCATTTCCCTACCTTTCATTTGATGGATTCGTACTTACACGTCAAAATGCAGTGCATTTTTGCAGTGCAAAATGCAGCACCACCTTTGGAAATCCATCCTTCACCTCCCTTATCTGAAGCAAGAGTCCCTCTGAGATGTTCTGACATCAGCCTGTGTTTGCTTCTTTTATAGCACTCATAGCTTTATTTTTGCAAGTATGTGATTATCTGTTCTTTAGTGGATTATAGCTTTGAATCCCCCGCTTCAAGAACAGCCACTAATATATACAGCCAATTCTTATTCACAGTGGTTCTGTAAAAAGCCACAAATAATGAATTAGTGAATATGGAACCATTGCTACTAGGAGAAATACAGGATTAGGTTCCTTCAAGCCTCTTATCAAATGTTTGTCAACCATCCCATAAATACCTTGCTTTATGTGTGTTTCTTTTAAAAGGCACCTTATGTAGGCAGAAAAAAATTTTTAAGGTACCTTATTTAATATAGTTGATTCATTAACATCGAACTCATAGCCAGTGGCACTGTAACTTATGCTTACATGGTGTATGTATTTTCTCTTTAAAAAGAAGAGCCTTCTGGCACTTAGGGAACTAGATAGCCTCATCACTACACTTGGGGGGCATTTTAAACAGTGAAATCACAAAAAGCTCAAAAATGCAACAAATATAGCACTAAATAGACCATGAAAAGGACACTTGTTTCCAGTGTGAGGGCTAAAACAGGAACGCAAAGCATCCCCTTGTTTCACCAAAGCTGGGAACATGTGTATCACGTGACTCAAATTTTTTGCCTCTGTTCATGTCGACAAGTGACTGCAAAAGCATTCTAAGTATTGATTTGGGCATTGCAAATAAATTTTAACAAGTAGGCAAATTCACAAATACAGAATCTGCAAGTAATAAGGATCAACTCTATTTTTTGAATGACCAAAGGAAGCCCTACCACTTCCATGAAGCCTTTCCTGGCCACTGTGGCTGATAGCAATATCTTCCTCCTCTAAATTTATAGTACAGTGTTTATTATCACTCCACGGCGAGTCATTTTTGCTTCCTAGAATGCTTCTCTTCCTTAACCATTAACATTTATCCTTCATTTATCCCTGCTTCATCTTCTTTGGCCCTGCCTTCAAAGGTAACAATTAGCTGATGTAATCATCAATTCTACTAAGAGAAGACTAAACAGCTGCCATAGACTACTTTCTCTATTCAGTAACGTACATTTTGGGATGTCCAGTATTAGGTTACCTGCTTAACATTTTCCAATACACCATGTTCTTTCAAGGCCTTGTGACTTTATTAGCGCTGTCCCTTTTGCCAGAATGATTTTCCTTATTGCTCAAATGCCAGTACCTCAGTGATACCCTAGACAAAGGTCTAGCTCCCTACCTGTAGAACAGGAGTTAAAACATTTACTGGGAAGAGATAGTGAGGACAGATGAAAATAAAACGTTTTACTTAGTTTTCTCATCTTTCTTGGCCTTATGAGCTCTTTTAAGGACTGGACTCAAGTTTATTCCTCTCTACTATCTGCTCTTAACTCTGTCTGAAACTCAAAAAATGTTTATTGAAGACACATGCTTTGTTTTAAATAGGAAGGAAGCAGAGGCAGGAGAAAATATTTTAGATAGGCAAGAGAGTGATATACCCTCTAACAGACCTATATTTCTTTATGGTTTATTACCATAAGTTGCCTTCATCTTTCAGCTGCACTGATCCTGGGAATATTCTCTATAGTGTGCTGAATTCCTCCTCAGGTTTTTCCAGCTGTCTTCTCCAGTTGAGTACAGTCTTACTACTTTCAATAGTGCTTTTGAAGTCTTGTTTAAAAACAGTCTGCATTTCCAGTGATTTCCAGATCACAAAGAGATTCTGTATTTTCTTCTATTTCTTTTACAGTCCATTACTCTACTTAGAATCACACTTAAGTCTTTATTCTCTCTGTAATACATCCCTGTTTGTGGTGTAAAGTGAGGATCTAGGCCATTTTTTTTTCTATAACTCTACTCAGTTTATTCCTTCCTGTTCATTTTCTTTTTTTTTCTTTTCTTTTTTTTTTTCCTGAGATGGAGTCTCTCACCATCTCCCAGGCTGGAGTGCAGTGGCACAATCTTGGCTCACTGCAACCTCTGCCTCCCAGGTTCAAGCAATTCTGCCTCAGCCTCCCAAGTAGCTGGGACTACAGGCGTACACCACCATGCCCATCTAATTAGAGATGGGGTTTCACCATGTTGGCTATGCTGTTCTTGAACTCCTGGCCTCAAGTGATCGGCCCGCCTCGGCCTCCTAAAGTGTTGGGATTACAGGTGTGAGCCACTGTGCCCAGTCTCCTTCCTGTTTGATTTTTGATGCCACTGGTATCTTTCTGTTTTCATTTCATTTGTGTTCTGCTTCTGACCTATTTTTCAATTGGTCATTTTGTCTGTGACTACACCAGTACCATGTTGTTTTTATTTACTATTGTATTATGTTATAGAATATCTTAATATATAATAAGGCAAATCCCTCTTCTTTGCTCTTTTTCAAATTTAACTTGGCTAAATATTAATCTTGGTCTGGCACAGTGGCTTACACCTATAATCCCAGCACTCTGGGAGGCCGAGGCAGGCAGATCACTTGAGGTTAGGAGTTCCAGACCAACCTGGCCAACATGGTGAAACCCCATCTCTACTAAAAATACAAAAATTAGCCAAGTGCGTTAGCACATACCTGTAGTACCCAGCCCAGAGGCTGAGGTGGGAGAATCGCTTGAACCTGGGAAGTGGAGTTGTCAGTGAGCCGAGATTGTGCCACTGTACTCCAGCCTTGGCGACAGAGTGAAACTACATCTAAATAAATAAATACATAAATAAATATGAACCTTTAGTTTTCCAAATACATAGAACAAGATGGTTGAACTTGTAAAAAAAAAATCTTCATTGAAGTTATGGATTAATTTGGATTGAGTTGACATCTTACAATGTATAGCAGTCACAGGGGTGTGCAGCTCAGATCTCCCTTCAAGAAAGGACTCACTGCCCAACTGCAAGGAGCATAGATACATGACAGCCTCCAGTTGTTAATTCTTTCTGGGTTCACCTCAGCTTTCACGTTGAAGTTACACTATTCTCAGGGCAAACCCTCTCCCGCATGCCCATCCCCAGCTCAAGACTGAGCAAGGGATAAGGACCTGCTCAATATTGGGATGGCAGAAGTATTGTCAGACCTGCATGGTAATCTAATGGCTCTCCCACCCAATTCTGCTTCCCCGCTTTCCATTTCACAGGTGCTACTCTCCAGTAAACTTTTTGCGCTTTTAACCCCATCTCAGCATCCACTCCCCCAGAGAACACTATAACACGAATTTAATCATCTGATTCATTCTGTTTTTGTACATTTAAAAAATCATAGTTAATAATAAAATTTTAAGTATTATGAAAGAGGAAACTATGAACCATTTTAGCAATTTAGACTGTAAAGGCTCAAGCATGGTTTCTCTAAGGATATGATACTTAAATGGTTAAGAAAAGTGAATTATGAGTAAAAGTCATGTGAATCAAAGTAGAGACAAGAACATTCCAGCACACATAATAGCCTGTGGGATGTTCCTGATATAAAGAAGAGTCAGGATCTTAAGGACAGAGTGGTGGGAGGGTATCAAATTAGGGACATGGGAAATGGCTGTCAGTCAAGTTAGAGGTAAAAAAAATTTCATGTTAAGATTTTGGAACTGGATTTTATTTAAAATAATGATGTGAAGCCATTGAAAGGTTTTTGGTGTTGCAGGATGAATTTAAAATAGGAACACACCAACGCATACTTCTTTTAAGAGAGAATCTGATTAAATTTGGGAATTTTAAAATAAAAACAGGAAGCATATCGTACTCTAATATAATAATTTAAGGGTTTTTATTTTCCTAGAAGATCAAGGTCATGTTAATAAAGGGAATATAGTTTTCTTATCTAAGACTAGCCACTGATGACTTGCAAAGAAAAATAACACTTTCTGTGATATCCTTAGGTAATTCAAGAGGAAACACTTGAGCAATTACTGATGTTGTAAACTGAGATCAGAAGACATACATAGTATCATATCCCAGAGCAGGCACAGTGGCTCACACCTGTAATCCCAGCACTTTGGGAGGCTGAGGAAGGCAGATCACTTGAGGTCAGGAGTTGGAGACCAGCCTGGCTTACATGGTGAAACCCATCTCTACTAAACAAAAAAATTAGCTGGACATGGTGGTGGGTTCCTGTAATCCCAGCTACTTGGGAGGGAGGCTGAGACAGGAGAATCACTTGAACCCAGGAGGCAGATGTTGCAGTGAACTGAGATTGCGCCACTGCACTCCAGCTTGGGCAACAGGGCAACAGAGTGAGACTCCATCTCAAAAAAAAAAAAGACATACTATCATATCCCCCTAAATTGGACCAGAGCACTTCTGGCATAAAAAGCTTTTTTAAGGCCGAGTGCTGTGGCTCACACCTGTAATCCAGCACTTTGGGAGGCTGATGGGGTGGATCACCTGAGGTCAGGAGTTTGAGACCAGCCTGGCCAACATGGCAAAACCCTGTCTCTATTTTAATACAAAAATTAGCCGGGAACGGTAGCACACACCTGTAATCCCAGCTACTCGGGAGGCTGAGGCAGGAGAATCACTGGAACCCAGGAGGCGAAGGTTGCAGCAAACCAAGATCACACCACTGCACTCCAGCCTGGGAAACAGATTGAGACCCCATCTCAAAAAACCAAAACCAAAATACAAAAAGCTTTTTTTGCTTTTGTTTTGTGTGTGTGTGTGATGGAGTCTCTGTGTCACCCAGACTAGAATACAGTGGCATAATCTCAGCTCACTACAACCTCTACCTCCTGGGCTCAAGTGATCCTCTTACCTCAGCCTCCTGAGTAACTGGGACCACAGGCACATGACACTCATGCCTGGTTAATTTCCTTTTTGTATTTTTGGTAGACGGGGTTTCACCATGTTGCCCAGGCTGATCTCTTGAGCTCAAGTGATCTGCCTGCTTGCCTTGGCCTCTCAAAGTGCTGGGATTACAGGCATGAGCCACCACACCTACCTAAAAAGCTTTGAGAGGCAATCACCAACTCTTCAGGGGGCACTCTGTTTATACCCATGATGAATTATGACTCCATCTCTATAGGTGCTGTGGAACTGCTTATGGATATGGTTATGGTGAGTAATAATCATAACATTAAAAAGGTACATATACATATATTGCATGTTCACACACACAGACATGCAGACACAAAGTCTCCCATACAAACAGTCAAATGAGGACAGGTAAGTATAAATCTCAGCATCCAGAGGAAAAAACATGTATGTAATATTATTAAAGATGTAAGTGAAATGATGTGATACTTGTGCTATCAAAATGATTTGAAATGGAATAAGGAGAGAGAGTAGAGTATCAATGAAATAAGATTGGACATGAGTTGACTGTGGTTGAAATTGGATGATAGGGATGGTTATAATTCTTTGAGCTCTTACATATTGAAATTTTCCATAATAAAAAAACGTTTTTTTAAAAAATCTGTTAAGGCAGAGAGACCCAGAAAACAAAAAGATCTCTGGGAATGTCTAACAGACTGGCTACAATGGAAGTTTCAGGAAAGCAGAAATTTTGCCTGTCTTTTCTACAACTGTATCTCTTGTGCTTAGAGAAGTTGATAGCACGTGGCAGGTTCTGTTGTTGAATGAATGAACGTTGGAGAATAAAACCCATAACCTAGGTGACAGTCTGTCAGCTCAGACAAAGTCAAGAATCCTGGGGTTCACTCACCTGTCACACTACAAATGGCATTTGTTAGTTATTATAAGAATAAATAACCACTCCAAGAGAAAGCAGATTCACAAACTTTCACCATGGATTTCATAAGTAGATATGCACATGTTTATATGCATATGATCCCACCTAGAAAGCTGCTATCGTATCATTTCATTTCATTCCTTTTTTTCCCAACAAATATTTATTGTAGAGGTATCTCTGTCCTTCAAGCCAAAAATCAGGGAAAAAATCAGAAAAGAAATCTTATTTGCTTACTAATTGAAGTGTGGAAAGGCACAGATAATCTTTTGAAGAAAATTCACCTTTGCATATTGTTCTTAGTTCCTTAGTAGCCTTGGGACAAAACTGAAAAAGGTAATGATGTAGAACCTTAATTAGGGCTTTTGAAATTTGAGGCCTTTTTTTGTTGTTGTTGTTGTTGTTGTTGTTGAGACGGAGTCTTGCTTTGTCGCCCAGGCTGGAGTGCAGTGGCCGGATCTCAGCTCACTGCAAGCTCCACCTCCCGGGTTTACGCCATTCTCCTGTGAGGCCATTTTTATTGGGGGTCAGAACCTAAGCCAGGAAAACAACCAATAACATTGCAATAACAAACATCAGGCATAATGAAATGCCCTTAGGAGACACTGTCGAAAGTTTTGAAGCTGCACTGTCCCATCCTCCAGACAACAAAGAGAAAAAACAGTCTGCAACACCTACAAACAATAGTACATAAGTTAGGAAGAGGCTAGGTTTGGCTGCAGTAATGAACAACAACAAGGGTTCATTCCTCTCACACCCTGCATGTCCATTACAGGTTAGCTACACCTCTACTCCACGTGGTCCTCCCTCCAGGTCCCAGACTGATGGAGCAGCCTCTGTCTGTTTGGAACATTGTCAGTCATAATGGTGGACACAAAAGAGATTATGGCAAACCATGTTTTGTCTCCTACAATTTCTGCTCACTTCTCTCCACATTTCATTGACCAGAGCAAGTCATGTGACCAAGCCTGATTCAAAATAGGCTGGAGCAAGGAGGAGCAGCAAACATAAGTGAGTTTATAATATAATCTACCATACAAGGTGAACCAGAATTTAGGAATGAGCTCACAGCCTGCATTTCATGTAACTGCCAGAGCTCAGACAGGATTTGATCCTTCCTTCCCAGAAGAAAGAGTTGACTCCCTTAACAGCATCAGCTGGACCAATTCCTGGCTGTGGAAGCAGCATTCATCATGTGTTTTCATAGTAAATGAATAGTAAACATAGGGGGTAGAACAAACTACACTGCCACATACCATAGCCACTACCAATTTGTGGCTGTTGAGTTCTTGTGGCTATTTGGCATTGTGGTGTGCAGTAAGTATAAAATGTGCACCAAATTTCAAAGCCTTAGAAAAAACGTGAACAATGTTTTTCATGTGTTGTTCTTCAACAACAAAAAAGTAAAATATCTTCATTTTTACATTAATTGCACATTGAAAGAATAATATTTTGGATATATTGGCCTATAAATATGTTAAATAAAGTATATTAATAAAATTAATTTCACTTTTTTTTTTTGAGATGGAGTTTCACTCTGTTGCCCAGGCTGGAGTGCAGTGGCACAATCTCTGCTCACTGTAACGTCTGCCTCCCAGGTGCAAGTGATTCTCCTGCCTCAGCCACCTGAGTAGCTGGGATTACAGGCAGCTGCCACCATGCCTATCTAATTTTTTTGTATTTTTCGTAGACATGGGGTTTCATCATGTTGGCCAGGTTGGTTTTGAACTCTTGTCCTCAAGTGATCTGCCTGCCTCGGCCTCCCAAAGTGCTAGGATTACAGACGTGAGCCACCGCGCCTGGCCCTCACCTTTTTATTACTATTTTTTATTTAAAAGCGTAGCCCCTAGAAAACTTAAAATTACATATGCAGCTCACATATTTTTGTCGGACAGTGCCTTCCTAAAAGGTAAGAACTTTTTCCTCTCATGTGAAATAAAGGAGAGGAATAAAGAGCTCAGTGTATTAATAGAGTAACTCTTAGTCCTCTTACTCTGTACTGCTTTGGTATGTTTTAGAATGCTTCTATGAAACTACTACTGAAAACACCATTGGCATTTGTTCAGTTTGGGAAGCTCAGGTGTGGTAGGACCCAGGGAGGGAAGAGTACCTGCAGGGGGACCAGCCAATACTGAGAGCAAAGTGGGGGCCACCACCCTTCCTTTTGTAAACTATTAAGTAATAATAAACACTTACCAGCAGATGAATTACTGGATAGAGATGAACACTCACCAGCAGTGTGAGGCCCCATAGCTTCTCTGATCTCTCTCACCAGAGAATATTAAGAGGTATACCCGTTCTAGTTCAAGAAGGAAAAGCCTTCTACAACTGGCTTAGATGAGTAAGGGAAGGCTATAATTAGATTTGTATGGAGTGTATATGGGGCTGAGGGAGGGGTAGCCAAGAAAGATACAATGGGGGTGGTAGAAGAAGGAAACGAGAATATTGTAATGGTCCATGTGAGATGTTGGAAGTTTGAACTAGAGTGTTAATGGTGTTGATATTTTCAAAATGATAGACATTATGTGTCTATCATTTAAAAAACAACTATTCAGCTCTATCAATTGAAGATCTGCTTTCAGCCACCATTCTTTTCTCTTTACAGGCAAGCAAGAGTTGTTTGTACTCACTGTCTCAGCTTCCTCTCCTCCCATCACTCCAGTATGAACTAGTTCTGTCTCCACCATTTTACCAAAACACTTCTTGCCAAGGTTATCAGTGATTTGCTTTTCACTGACATTGACTAAATGTAATGTCCACATTTAGTCCTGTGTTATTTGACCAAATATAACATTTGACAACATTGTTCACGTTTTTTTCTTGAAACGCTTTTTTCCCCACTATTTTTACTGTATCACAATCTTGGTTTTTTTTTCCCCCTGATTTTTCTGAACCCTCTAAAGTATCCTTCTTGAACTTCACCACACTTCATATGGATGTGCCTTGGAATTCCTGCTGGTCCTTTTTTCAATCTAAACATGATCCCCAACCCATCTTACCTATTTTTACTAGTTAAACTCCTATATCCATGCTGATGTTTCCCAAAGGTCATTACTTGGATGTCTTCTAGGCATTTCAAATCAGTCTCCAAAACTAAACTCATTATCTTCACTAACCAATTTTGCCCCTTTCCTGTGATATGTCACTCATAGAAAGCCACCATGATCCAATTGCTCAAGTCAAAAATCTAGGTATCATCCTTCTTCTTTTACCACTATCCAATTAATATCCCAATTAATATCTATTGAGTCTTCCTCCTAGGCATACTGCTCATTGTCATTCAACCCAGATGATACACTTCAGCCAAAGAAACCCATTAAAGCCCCCTCTAAACATGTAAACCTTTATTGGCTTCCCATATCCCAGGTTAAAGTACAAATTTATTAATGGTAATACTTAATTGAAATTAACTGTGTTTTATGGTATTAAGCACTGTTCTAAATGCTTTACATTTATTTATTCTCACAATTTAGCATTCCCAGTTTACAGCTGAGGAAATTAAGCTTCAAGTTGCCCAAGTGTATAGAATGAATCAATGGCAGAGGTTGAACTCAGGTCAGTAATCAACACCACATCCTTAACCACATGCTTTCTTACATCTTTCATTAATTGACATCTGCCTAGCTTTTCAGTTTCTTCCATTCTCCACTTTTTACATTCTACAATGGTGTCATACCATGTATCTGCAGTTCCCAGAATAGTCCTGCATTATGCAATAGACGAACTGGTATATGCTGAATAAATCATCAACACAGGGGCAGTTTTTAGAGTATTTATTATTTTTTAAATGATGAGAACATGGGAAAAATCAGAAAGACTTCCCTACATGTAATTTTATAATTAGCATTATTTTTATTTTGAATTTCAAGTGAGAGAGCACTATAATATTTTGGTGCATAGAGACTGTAAATTCCTTAATCTATTTCTACAAACAAGCCATGGTGTCCCTCATTGTGTTCTTTGCACAAAGAGCCCCTTCGGTTTAGAACATTTACCATGCCCAACCCTATCCTTCATCTAACTCCAGGACTTACCTTAAAAGTCACTTTCTCCAGGAAACCTTCCCTGACTGGGCTGAGTGTTCACAGTGTTTATCTCTGTTACAATTACATCATGTTGTATTATTAAAAGATTAGGTTCCTTGAAGGCAAAAGCTTTTGTTCATCCACTGTTTTATTCCCAAAATCTAACATAGGATAGATGATACCTTTTTAAAGTCTATCACTTTTTTCCTACATTATAATCACCATTTTTGAAATGTTGATTGACACTTGTCTGACTCTCAAGGTGCCATGAAGTGAAACATTAGTCCACAAGAAAGGCGGGTTTTTTTTTTGTTTTTTTTTTTAAATGGACTTTCTTTGATATTTGTAAATCTCCCAGAGAAAGAGGAAAAAATAAAATGAACTAGTTAAAAAAAAAAAAAAAAAGAATTACAGGGTTTTTGTTTGTTTTGCATTTTAAGGAGCTAGAAAGGTAGAGGAGGCTAAAAGCCATCTCTACTCATATTTCCAAGCACCTGACAAATTTCTACAGTAATATCCTCTCAATTTGTTCACACTTCCCATATTCAGAGCTTTGAGTAGTGTCCTCCCACATTGATTCTGGATTTGTCCAAGTGATTTGCTTTGCTAGTGAGATTAAGGTAAATATTATGAGAGAAAAATAAATGTGATGCAAGCAACAACTAGAAAAGTGCTTGAATGCTGAGGCTGCCATGTGATGAGGTCCCAGTAAGATCCAGCCTGACAACCACCAGGCATGTGAGTGAGACCAGCCTAAACCAACCAACTTGCACAGGTAGTGCAAACCAAAAGAACTCCCCGGCAACTCACAGAATGGTGAAAAGTAATAAATGTTTTTAAGCCACTAAGCTTGGGGTAGTGAACATTGATACAAAGCCTAACAAACACACACTGAGGCTCGCGACCTCTGTTGACATATATTTTTCTTATAACACAGCTTGTACTTCCATTCATTCAACCAATATCCATAGTCAATTTACTTATATAAGAATAAATTCTTTTTTAAAAAATGAAATTCAGGTAACTCATTGCATCAAAGGAAATGCTGAATAGGCTTCCAAGGCAACAGCAACCATCAAATCTCTAGGAATCAGAGCTGCCAAAGCTTGTTCAGTCATGGGCTTTTTCTATAGAATGCTCCTGCATTCAACTGACTCAATAACAATCACCCATCCTGGGTGTTGAGATACAAATTATCAAGATAGAGAATCTAATTGACTTTGCTTAAGTATATGCCTATCACTTTGAGTAAGGAAGAGGGATTTATTACAAATAGAAGTTGGGAGATCACTTGGCATGCTAAAAGTTGTGACTCTAATACTTTAACAAGAACCAGATTCTAATTCTTTTTCTTTAATAAACTATTAACTTTTTGCATGTAATTTTCCAGAAGGTAGATACTAATTTATATGAGTTGGAGAGCTGTATGTTTGAAAGACAAATTCAAATCACAGACATACAAGTACACAAAACACCAAAACAAACCTAGTGCAAATTATCATTATAAGACTTTCTGGGAGCTAAAAAAGCAATAATGATCTTATGAGGTCTTGCTTGGATTTTTCTATCAACTTCAGATTCTTTAGATTCACACTGTGTTCTGTTTCCTCTGAGTTTCCCTAACCCCTACAGCCTCTACTCCTTTCTCCTCCTTGTGACTTCTTCTAATACTTTACTGACCAGCTACTTCTTTATATGAATTTATTTTTGCCAAGTAAATTTTAATCTGTTTCAGATAAGAATTCAGTTTTTATTTTTTTGTATCCTTTTATATGATTAGTATTTTATTCAATAACTGTTTAAAAGTATAGAAACTGAATAGGAGTTTAAGAATAACCTAAATCAGTATCTTCATATTTACAGATGACAAAATTGGGGTCTGGGCATGTGCAAGGACTTTTCCAAAGTCAGCTGGAAAGCTAATAGAAGAAACAAGTTACCTGCTGTAAGACCCAGAGCCAGATTCAATTCAGGCTTTGTTAATTGACAGAATGTGATAGCTATTTAATTCAGGCTTTGTTAACTGACAGAATGCAATAGCTATTTAGTTAAAAATAGACAAATAAAATACTAAAATTAAAAAGCTAACCACAAAATAGCGATATTAAATCACGTTATTTATGCATTAGTTCATTTCCTCAATATTTGGACTATAAATATATGAATATATCAACAAAAAATGTAAAATGGAATGTCTCTAATAAAGGATACAAATAATAGATACAAACGGCCTTGGACATTTTGGTAATTATGATTTGGTAGGTATGAGAGGCAAAACACACAAGACTGTTGGTCTGCTTCCCTTTTTTAGTATATTTTTCCATTAATATAAAGTTAGGAGAAAGTTTTAAAAGGTTTATAGATGGCCCAAAGGCATGAATACAATAAATGCTGGCCTTCATTTGTGCTTTTTCATGAAAAATATTTAAACTGAATAGGAAAGAAATTATTACACGAGATTTGTTGTTCTTTCATTTTCTCAAATAATGGATGTCTTTAAAACCTTTTTACCTAATTTTATTGACTTTGTTTTACTTTTTGGCAATAAGATTACTATCTCATATATGTGTGTGTGTGTATATATACATTATATTATATATATATATATATATAAAAAAATACAAGAGATTCTTAAAAAATAGCAACTTAGCCATAATTCCCTTTCCCTCTCTTCCAGCTCTAAGACATTTGCCTCCCTTGAGCCAAATCCTTGCCAAGGCCTATAGGAAGGTAGGAGAAGGTGGGACCTTGACCTCTGTTGGGGACTCTGCTATGAGAAGTTGGTCCACGACTTGCTCCCCCATGGATTAAGCAAACAAATGAAGAACAGTGGTACTGGTGGCTTCTGAACCTCCTTAATCCTGAATAGAGTTTGGTTTTCACAGATCTCTGGGAAGACACCCTTCCTTCAACAAAGTTGGTATAGCACCATATGAGAGAGTCTTAGATTTCATTGACTCCCAAAAGTCCAAGAAGTTTAATGGGGATAATGAGTATTCCCTGCTCATACTAGTTATCTGTTGCCATCTAATGAATTACTCCAAACCTTAGGGGCTTACTTAAAGCAACAAACATTCATTACATCACAGTTTCTGTGTGTCATGATTTCAGGAGCTGCTTAGCTGAGAGGTTCTGGCTCAAAGTCTCCTGTGAAGTTGCAGTCAAGATGTCTGCTGGGACCCCAGTCATTTGAAGCCCTGTCCGGGGCAGGAGAATCTAGGTCCAAAATGGCTGTTGCAGGAGTCCTCATGCACACCATGTGGGGCCTCTTCATAGATGTTCGAATGTCCTCATGGCATGGCCACTGGCTTTCCCCAAAGCAAGCAGTCCAAAAGAGAGTAAGACAGAGCCCACAATGTCTTGTATGAATTAGCCTTGGAAGTCTAACACGGTTACTTCCACCACATTCATTAGTCATTAGGTACAGCTCACATTCATGGGGAGGAAAATCAGGGCTTGTCTTTAGATAGAAGATGTGTCAAAGAATTTGTGGACATATTTTAAAATCATAGCACTACTGTTGATGTACTAAGTCCGTGACTCCCCCAGGAGTCTCACAGAGAATTGACTGCTTGCCCACCTATATTACCTTTGTGGGTAGAGACTCCAGTAGTGTGCTGGTTAATGTTCAACCAGTGGCTTTCTATAAAACAAAATGTATGGATACATATATATGTTCTAAGTTTTACTGATATGAAGAATGTGTAGCACAGAATTTACAAATAATAAGATATACAGTATTATTTATTGTAAATTCCATAGAACCTATTGTTTTTCACAAAAGGTTTTAGTTTATTTTTCCCAAATGCTTGTATCGGTAACATTTTCTATATCACTTTTTTTATGTCCAGACAATCAACAAAACAGTGAAAAAGCCCAGCCTTGTAGCATTTGCCAGTTATTGTGTAAATGTCCCCACCATGGTGGATTTCAAGTTACCACTATGAGATCACAGAATGCAGAATTGGAAAGAGATTCACAGCAGCACCCCATTACACTATATTTTCACCATACAAATGCAGTTGATGTAAATTAACTGAGGAGCATAAATAATAATAAAATGAAGTTAAATAATTAGGAAATGATTTTGAAAATTGTGTTGGTTTTTAATATAAGTAAGTTTATGTGTCAGCTTTAATAAAATCTGTCTTTAACAACTAGCTCGAAGAATTCTTGAAAAATTAATAATCAGCTCTCATAGGCTAGTGACAACTGCCTTCAGCACACCGCTGACTAGAAACACCTTTGCCTTCTACCACATGTGGAATTCCCAGTATTTCAACAATCAGAATTGAGCTTCTGAGCAAACCAAGAAAAATAGCATCTTATGTAAGAGACAGCAATTTGAGAGAGGAATATCAGTCAGAAGAAACAAGGGGAAAGTAGAACTTGTAAAAGAGAGATGAAAATTTGAATTTTTTAAAAAGGCATCATTAAGCAGATTTAAGTACAATACAAAAAGTTAAAGAATTTAGTAGATAAATAGGATGAGATGATCACCACTGAGACACAGATCAATGATCTGGAAGATAAAAACAAATCATAAAAATAAAAGTATCTTGAAATTTTGCAAAGTACATCATAAATCAATGCATCAGGGATTATGTGTCATGACAAAAAATTTTATAGATACTCAGAATTATATGTCACCGCTTACTATGCAAATATTTTCTATTTTTCCTAGCTTTAAAATATGCATATGGGCCAGATGTGGTAGCTTATGGCTGTAATCCCAACGCTTTGGAAGGTCGAGGTGGGCAGATCATTTGAGGTCAGGAGTTTGAGACCAGCCTGGCCAACATGGTGAAACTCCATCTCAACTAAATACAGAATAATTAGCTGGGCATCGTGAGCATACCTGTAATCCCAGCTACTCCGGAGGCTGAGGCACGAGAATCATCTGAACCTGGGTGATTCTGCACTCTACTTGGGCTCTGTCTCAAAACAACAACAACAAAAACTATGATATTTTTAATGAACTAAATATTAATATACTAACACAACATGGTTTTATGATTACTGCAATTCAAAAGTCATAATAAATTTTAAAACTAAAATCCTCCTGTACCTGTTGTGGTGCATGCAGAAACTTTTCCTGTTCAACACACTTATGTGGCACTATATAGGAATATACCAAATAGCTCAGGTACATAATGAATACAACTTTAAAATTTATATTGAAATGCTAATCTTACTTGCCAATATTAGTGGCACATTAGCATAATTTAACTTTTATAAAATTATGGAAAACACATTTTAAAACTATTCTTCTTAATATTAGCAAATTGCATTAATGGCATGTACCATGTGCCAGTTTGTTTCCAAATAAACAAAATGTACCTTGATATGCCACTTCAGGGCCAGCAGAGGGAGCTCATACTTTTTTATTATTTTCAACTTACTAAAGAAAATCTTTTAAAAGCTACTATGTTATAACCAATGAGTACCAAGAAAAAAGACAAAAAAAAAGCTGCTGGATTCTGAAAAATAATGCAGTTGTTATTTAAATAATGAAAATATATTAGTAAACAAAACACTTCATACTTTAGGTTGAAATAATAAATCTATTCTAAATAAAAAGATATTAATGATATTTATTTTATGTAAAAATGCCAATTAAAATTTCATACTTTCAAGTTATTTTTCTTTTATTATAATTTTTTTAGAAACAAGGGTGTCACTCTATCACCCAGGCTGGAGTGCAGTGATGTGATCATAGCTCACTGCAACCTCAAACTCCTGGGCTAAAGCAATCCTCCTGCCTTAGCTTTCCAAGCAGCTAGGACTACAGATGCATTCCACTATGCCTAGCTAATTTTAAAAATTTTTTGTAGAGACAGGGTCTTGCTGTGTTGCCCAGACTAGTCTCAAACTCCTGGCTTCAAACAATCCTCCCACCTCAGCCTCCTGAGTTGTCGGGGTTACATGTGTGAGTCACTGCACTCATCTGCACTCAGCTATTCAGTTTATTTTTCCAATAGCCTTTACTTAAAAAAAAAAAGTTTATAAAAGAGATTTCTGGAGTAAACTAAAATGGAAACCTTCCAGCTACAAGCATAAAACATAACAGATAAAAAATGACAAATATGACACACTTCAAATTTAGTTATCACACATGAAATTAAACACATAATTTAAATACATTCCCATTCACTCAATTCTCAGCCCCTCCAAAGACACAGATAAATGCCATTATTCGTTTCTTTTTCTTTTCTTTTTCTTTTTTTTTTTTTTGAGACGGAGTTTTGCTCTTGTTGCTCAAGCTGGAGTGCAACGGCGCAATCTAGGCTCACTGCAACCTCCATGTCCTGGTTCAAGCGATTCTCCTGCCTCAGCCTCCCGAGTAGCTGGGATTCTGTAATACACCACGCCCAGCTAATTTTTTGTATTTTTAGTAGAAATAGGGTTTCACCATGTTAGCCAGGCTGGTCTCAAACTCCTGACCTCAAGGGATCCACCCGCCTTGACCTCCTAAAGTGCTGGGATTACAGGCATGAGCCGCCACATCTGACCCATTATTAGTTTCTTATGTATCCTTTCAGAATTTCTTTATTAATATACAGACATATATGAACATAAAATCTTACTCTAATCGAATTTTTCTTATGCAAAAATAGCATATCATACACACTATTCTGTATCCTGCTCTTTTTACTAATATATATTGGAAATATTGGCATAAGTCTATAGTAGTGACCTTACTCCTTTTTTTTTTTAGGTGTGTGTAGTGTATAGCAGACAAATTGTAAGAATATACAGTAATTTATCTATTCCCATTTAATAAATTTTTTCAGTTGTTTCCATTTTCAATTACAGAAGATTCTCCAATAATGAACTTGTATATATTTGCCATTTTCTACATGTGAAGACTATGTGTGTGAAGGATAAAGTCCCAAAAGTGGGATTGCTAGGTAAAAGGACATAAGCATTTGTAATAATGATGGATACTGCCAAATTACTTCACTATGAAAATTATAGCTACTTATACTCCCTCAGGAGCAATATGTCTGTTTCCTCATAATATTGCCAACTGAGTCTTATCTAACTTTTGATGTTTGCCAGTCTGATAGATGAAAAATGTATCCTCTAAGTATAATGTACTATTCTTATTATGAGTGAGTTGAACATCTTTAGAATGTGTCAAAGCCATTTGTATTTCCTTTCTGTTAACTTTCTGCTCATTTTTTGCTCACTTTTAGGATCCTTTCCTTGTTCATTTGTAGAAGGCCTTTATTGAGTAGGGAGATTAGCCTTTTGTGATATGTGTTGCCACTTTGTTAAGTCATTTGTCTTATGGTTTTTATTTGGCATGCAGTTTTCATATATATGTAGCCAAATTTGTCAATTTTGTTTAATGCCTTTTAGATGTGGGGTCATAGAAAAGCCACCCCTAACCCCATAGTATAAAGAATTCTTCCATGTTTTCTTCTAGTATTTTCATGTTTTATTAAATTTTCATTGAAATATTTAGATTTGGACTTTATTCACAAATAAAGCACTGTGTGAGTTAAGGATCCATATCTGTTTTTCCAAATGGTTACCAAAATGTTCCAGTACCACTTAAGCCAAATAGTAAATTTTCTTACACTTCTGATTCTATTTCTGTAGTTTTTACTGTAATCACTGGTGCTTATATAATTTATTTTATTGCTCTGTAATTCTGGCCCTTCTTCATTGCTCTTCCTTTTCAGAGCTTTCCTGGCTATTTGACTGTTTATTTTTCCTATGAGTTTTAGGATCAAACTGTGTACTGAAAACAAAGTTGATATTTGTTACTTGCTTTTTATTAATATTTTAAATAAAATTTGTAAAAATGTATACATATAATACTAATTCTTACTTTTCTATTTTTTAATGTCTTTCAGAGGCAGTTTACAGTTGTTTATATACATATATTGCATTCTTTTTAGTTTTATCTTTTTTGTTGCTATTATAAATTGGATTTTTAAAATTACATATTATATTGTAATATGTATATAAGAAAGCTCTTTATTTTCTACCTCACTACCCTACTGAATTTTTCTATTCTTATTTTGGATTTTCTGTGTACTAATAGTAATACTACTAGTGATAGTTTTAAATTCTTTCCAATTTTGTACCTCACATAGATTTCTTTTGTATTATTTATTTTTTCAGTAGCTAGACTACAATAATAATTATAGCGATGAGAGTTGGCAGACATGTCTTGTCCCTGGCTTTAATGAGAAATGCTTGTAAAGTTTGATCACAATTATGATGCTAAATTTTGGTCAGGGATAGGTAAAATTTTCATTTTAAGGAAATATCAATGAATTTCTATTTCATTAAAATTTTTTTAATAATAAGTAGTTGTTGGATTTTGTCAAATGTCTGTTCACCATCTGTGGAGGTCATTATATGATTCAGGATTATGTTGTTTTTCATTGTATATGTATTAATATTATATGTACTAATAAAGACCTGTGAAAGTTGTCAGAATCAAAATGGGAGTTATTTGTGTTAAAACCCTGACAAATGGAGTCAGGGAAGGCCATGAAGGAAGAGTTGTCATGCATGAATGCCTGACAACAAGAACTATCACAAAAGACTGCAAAAAACACAACCTTGCACAAAGGGCGTTGCAATCTTACACACACAAAAATACTTCCGTGAGGTCGTCTGCCCAGCAACTGCCTGTCCAATCTCAGACTGGTATCACTCTTGTTACCAATCCTTGTAGCCAAGGATAATTATCTCAAAACAATTATTTAATCCTCCTCATTTTTCCTTTAAAAAAAAACCTTTTTCTTGTTTTAACTCCTTGAGTACGCACATAGTTTACTGTGGCACATGTATTCCCATTGCAATATCCATTCTCTAATAAATAGCATTTTTTAAAAGAGAGCCTCTCTCTATGTTATTTAGGTTGACAACTCTAAGATTGAAGCTTTCTTGCATTATCGGAATAAATCCCAAATGGTGATAGTTTTTTTTTTATTGCCATCCTGGGTTCTCTTTGATACCATTTGTTTAATATTTTTGTACCAGTATTCATGTAAATCAGTATACAGGTTTCTGTGCATTTTTTCAGATAGTGAATCAGTATTTACTCACTTTATAAAAATGAACTCAATAGTTTTTTTTCTCCTTGCTCTGGAACATTTTAAAACAGCACTGGAATTATATGATCTTAAAAAGTTTAGTTAAATTCCCCTAGAGCTGTCTGGATCTGGGCCTTTTGAAGAGTTAGGTCTTTACTTCCTCTATTTCTCCTGTGGTAGTTGATCTCTTTAAAAGTTTTCTGTCTTCAGAGTTCAGCTTTCACAAATAATTTTCCTAGAAAATTATACTCTTTTTCAGGTGTTCTAACATTTTGGCATAGTTTTAAGCAAACTTGTCTCATGATTCTAAGTTCTGTTTCTTACTTATTTTCCCCTTTATTTTGTATTATTTTTTCTTGATTATCTTAGCTAGTTAACTGATTTTCCAAATTACTCTGTAACTGTATTCTTGAGCTCTACTTTTTCTTTAGGCTTTCTAACTCACCAATGTTTGTTTTTATCTGTGTTAGTTCCTTCTGTTTTCCTTTGCTTATTTTGTAATTCCTTGTCAATCCTTTGAGTAAAATGCTTGATTCATTTATTTTCATTTTTTTTCTATAACCATTAATGCTAGACATTTTTCTTCTCAGAATTTCTTGAGAAAATTGTTTTAAAATCCTAGTTAAGCTTGCAACAAAGAAAGTACTATGCCACTAGTAACAGAAATGAAAAAGAAAATTCAAATCAGAGTCATAAGGGCATGAGCTGAGGCTTCTGGCAGCCATGGTAGGGAGGAGGGAATATCTCATAAATCAAAACCTCAAGCCTTTACTGATGTAGGTTTTTAGTCTTTATTTATATTATCTGTGTATGTATACATATTATGAAAACTCATTCCAGAAAACTGGACTAAAACTAGGTTAGTGATATATCTGGCCTGGATACTTCCAACACTTCAAAATCAGGACACAATGAAATTCCAATAGAGAGAATGTGATCCAACCAGGATCACCTCCTATTTTTAAAAATTACGTTTCTATAAATACAATAAAGATTTAAAACAGCATAAAAAGAATCTTACCTCATGCCAAGATATTCGAAAATTTAGGTGAAAAGGACAATTTCCTAGAAAAAATGAGGAAAAATTAGAATTCTGAATAGAACTAAAACTGACTAAAAGATTGAATCTGTAATTAGAAATCTATCCACCAACTTACTCTCTGTGACACAAATGCAATTTATCCAATATTCACTTTACCATCGTTAAAATACCATCCTTCCATGGCAATGGAATGTTTACCTGAGCACATTACACTTAATAAGTGTGACAAAAGAGTGAATAAGCCACTATGATATGTAGAAGTGTTATAGTTTTGTTGTTGTCATTAACATGAGTTCATTATTTGTTTATATTATGTCTTGATAAAATTTACATATCTTAAGTGTACTATTCCATGAGTTTGAACAAATGACCGAGAAAGAAAATACAGAAAAATACTATCACCACAAAAGTTGCCTCATACTCCCTTTACAGTGAATGCCCACCCCTCCACCCATAGACAACCACTGTTCTAAAACAGAATCATACAGTATGTACTCTTTGCATAAACTTTCTTTCACTTAGCATTGTTTTAGAGATTCATCCATGTTGTTGTATATATCCGTATTGCATTCATTTTTATTTTTGAGTAGTCTCCATTGCATGAATATACCAACATTTTATCCATGCTCTTGTAGATACTGTTTTGCTTTAAGAATTAAGAATAAAGCTGCTACAAGCCTACAAGCATTCTTGTACATATCTATTTATACATATACATTTTTATTTCTTTGGTGTAAGGTTTAGTTTATATTTATTTGAAAATACATGTATTTCTTATTTGTGAAGGATCTTTTCCATGGATATAAGTTTTATAGTAATCTTCTTCCAGCCCTTTAAAAATGTCGTGCCACTGTCTTTTTGGTCTCCCTTGTTTTTGAAGAAAAGTTGGCAGTCACTCATACCATGATTCTCCTATATGTGATGTGTCATTTTACTCTGGCTGCATTCAAGATTTTCTTTTTCTTTTTGATTTGCAGCAATTTGATTATGATATTATTTTCTTCGTATTTTCCTAGTTGAGATTGTCTGAGGTTCTTGATTTTGTACGTTTATATTTTTTAACAAATTATTAAGTCACATATTTTTTCAGGTTCAGTCCCACTTGCTTCTCTTTCTAGAAATCTGATTTACATATATTAGATTTTTTTCAATTGTCTCACAATACCGTGAGGTTTTTTTTTTCAGTTTAATTTACATCTTTGTTGCTCTCTGTTTCTCAGAGTAGATAATTTTGATTGCTGTATCTGAAGTTCAGTGACTTTCATCATCTCTAAACTGCTGTTAAGCCCACACAGTATTTTTAAAATTTCAGATATTATTTTTGTTTTTTTCTCTGATATTCCCTATTTGTTCAAGCATTATGAGCATATTTTCCCTTATATCCTTGAGCACAGCATAACAGCTGCTTTAAAATCCTCTGCCAATCCCAACATTTGAGTCATCACGAGGTTGGTCTTCATTGATTACCTTTTCTTATAAGTATGGCCTGTAGGTAGTAATTTTCTATGTGTTCTTGAAAAAAATCATATTGTAGAGACTTTGGATTCTATCATATTTCTTAGAAGATTATAAATTTTTAAATTAACAAACTTTATTTATTAGAGCAGTTTTAGGTTCACAGCAGAATTGATCAGAAAGTTCAGAGACTTCCCATACACTCTTGTCCCCATACATGCACAATCTCCCCAACTATGGACATTTCACACCATATTAGAACATTTGTTAAAATTGAACTTATACTGACATATTGTTATCACCCAAAATACATAGTTTACACTAGAACCCACTCTTGCTGTCGTACATTCTATGAATTTTGACAAATATATAATGACATTTATTCACCATTGTAGTATCACACAGAATAGTTTCACTGCCCTAAAAATCCTCTGTGTTCTGTCAATTCATCCCTCCCTCTCCACAAGTTTTGGCAACCATTGATCTTTTTTGGTGTCTTTAATTTTGCCTTTCCCAGAATGTCATATATTTGGAATCATACAGTATGTAGCCTTTTCAGATTGGCTTTTCTCACTTAGTAATACACATTTAAGGTTTCTCTATGTCTTTTGATGACTTGATAGCTCATTTCTTTCTAGTGCTGTATCTCATCTGTTGCCACTTTTTTCCTTTAAGTGTTGACTTATATCCAGCTTCTACCTGATTTTAGTTACTCTCCAGTTCATTTAGGTAGTTGTTTTTAAAGCAATTTTAAAAATCAGAATGTATATTGAATGGTTATTCTGATGTCAGTGCAGATAATTAGACTTAGTGAAAAAGATTTAGATACAGGAAGCCCCAAGTAACTGACTAAATGATAATGGCCTAAAATGGGACAATAATAGTAAACATAAACAGAAGGTTAAAAGTTGAGGAGATCTATGAGCTCATATTGGCGAAGCTTTTTGATTCTAAACTGCCACACATTGACCTATCCAAATTTTTTGTAATAATATGGAAAAGATGAGATTAAAAAGTTGAGATAGTAGTGGCCGGCACTGATTGCTTCTCACCTAAAATTCATAAATGAAGAAAAATAAAGAGAAATACCTATCATTTTAAGCAAAGATATTGTTACATAATTTCTCCTTATATCATCCACACGAAATAACCAAAGTATTTCATTGATGTCTGATTGCAGAGAAGTATCATATTAGCAAGAAATGTTGTCAGCTACTAGAAATAGAGACCTAACTACAATGACTCAAATGCCTAAGATTATATTATTTTACATTAAAAAATGGTTCAGAAATGGGAGTTCCACAAAGACAGCAGGAATCTAGGCCTTTCTTAATATATGTCTTTCATCCCCAAGGTTATAAGATGGCCACTGGAATTGCAACTGATGGCAGTGGTGGCCCATCTGGAGTGGCCGCTGTCATGATGCTGCCTGCAGCAGGGGAGGCACAGCCAGGGCTGCACGCTCCACAGAGCCGGCAAGAGCTGGCAACAGGCAGAAGTCCCATCCCCTTCTGAGCTGGCAGGGTGGGGGAGCCTTGTGCTCCCTGGTGCAGCTGTGGACCTGGGCATCTCTGCACTCTCGGGGGCCGGGAAGTTCCTGTGCTCCCACAGGCTCGGAGTGCCTACTCCCACTGCCTGGTCTCTCCCGACTCCTGGCCCCTGCTCCAATTTGGAGCAAGGTTATGGCCTATCCCAGGCACTGTCATGACCTGGCTGGGTGTGTGCATGCCCTGGGCAGTGCTGACAACCATCCCCCTGCCACTTGGGCCCCTTTTGGACTTTGGGCTCCGATCAGCATGGGAGGGAGGCCAAGGAGGGTTAAGGGCAGCTCTGCATGGGCCTGTAGGCACCCCTAGGCATGAACAGCCTCTGCTGTTCAGAGATGGCGGATTGATGGCAGCAAGAGGCAGACAGGCTCCTGGGAGAAAAGGGGCGGGTTCCTGGTGAAGCCCCACCTTCAAGCCAGGGATGGCCTGAAGCCTGAGGGCTTGGCTGCCAGTTCTGTGGACTGGAGTGAGAATTTAAGGTACATTTTCTGGGCCCACCCACGGCTGCCTATGGACCAATCAGCATGCACTTTCTCCCCTCTGAAGCCCGTAAAAACCTCAGACTCCACCCGACTTGGCAGATGACGGGACAACCTGCCTGAGGAGAGGAGCTACGCACTGAGGGTCTCCTCTGAGCTTTTCTGGCTCTCAATAAAGCACCTTTTTGCCTTGCTCACCCTCCAGGTGTCTGCATACCTAATTCTTCCTGGAGGTGGGACAAGACCTCGGGGCCCGCTAATGACGGGATTAAAAGAGCTGTAACACAAACAGAGCTGAAACATGCCCCTGCACTCGCCATGTTGCGGGCGATGAGGAGAGAAGAGGGAAGAAGAAAAGAGCTGTGGCCCTTTGGGGATCCCAGACCTGGGGGCTCCCTGAGCCAGGGCTGTGACACCTGCTCTTTGGGGTCCTGTGGTTCCTGGCATCTCCAAGCTTCCAGGTAGCACTGTGTTCCCCCTGGCCAGATGTAGATGCCTGCAGCAGAAGCCACGTGCAGTACATCTCATCCAGCCTCAGCCTTGCACGGAGCCGGCACCTATGCCAGTGCCTGGAGCTGCCTGCCCCACTGCAGCAGCCAGCATGCCTGGGTGTGCACAGCGGCTGGACCCCGCACTTGCTCGCCCACACACCCCTTGCTACTCTGTGCCTGGCTCACACTTGGCAGGTGTGGGATCCGGGCTGGTAGCGCGAGCTGAGTGCAGCCTGCCAGGCCGAGTGGGTGGAACGAGCCCAGTGGGAGCAAGTAATACTCAGGCAGAAGGCACTGCCAGCCACAGAGGTTTCCGGCTGGTGAAGTGACACCCTAAGGATCCCATGACACAACCATCATATGTCCATTTCAGGCAGGAATAAGCAGAGGCGCAAGGAGCAAACGAACTCATCTGAGCTTCTGTTAATAAGAGCCTTCTAATAAATTCCATCCTATAACTTCTGTCTATATCCCTTTGGCCTGTATCTAGTTACATGGTCATACCTATCTAGGAAAGAGGCTGTGAAGTGCATTTTTAAAGGGGGGGGGGTCATTGACATCTTGAATAAAACTGAAGTTACGTTGCTGAGAATAAAGGGGGAAATGGATATTGAATAAACAACTAGCTATCTCTACCACATGTACCATATGATTTGGTCAGAGCTCTATCAACAAACTTAAGCAAAAAGAGGAAGAAGAGGGAGAAGAAAAAGGAGAAAGAGAAGGAGACAGAGGAGGAGGAAGGAGAGCAGAAGAAAGGCAAGGAAATATATTGACCCACATTAGCAAACCTCAGGTATCTCTATATAGGCATATCCAATCTAGGTGCTTAAATAATCATTAAATAAAAGGAAACTTATTCCTTTTATTTCTCAGCTCTTCTTTCAACTGGATTGGAAACAGGCTTAGACATATCCCTTCCTCAAGTTAGTGAGATAGCTGCGAGAAAGACCAGGCTTCCATTTTCCCAGTTTAGCAATCCCAGTAGAAAGAGATCACCCGTTTCTTAATAATTTCAGTATGAGTTATGCGTGGGACTCATGGTCCTTGG